CTTCCCAACCACTATTAGACATTGTCTATAAAGTTATTTTCTCTCAATATTAACATTTTTAAAAGTCTCTCTAAAAAAGGGCACATCTGCTCCTTCCTCTTAATGCAAAGAGTGATGATGCAAACTCATTCAGCATATGACAGAAGAAAAAGCCTGATGATTTGCTTTCACTGATTTTTAAAAGCTCCAAATTTCCAGTTTACACTCCTTTCAAGTTTCCTACTCTAAAGATATTTTTTTCTTTCTTTTATTTGCATGGAAGTATACAAATAATATTGATGTTTCATTCAATAATTTATGAATACTGTGTTTTAATAGTTAATTACAACTGCCTTAGTCTATCAATCTGAATGAAAGGAAACTGCCACCAGTGGTTAACAGTATGACCCGCCAAATAAGGGCTGTGTCCCCAGAGCTCCTTTCTATGAAGATTCCCTCTCTTACTGCATGGTGCCAGAACTGACTCCCAGGTGACGCTCTAGTGTGTTTCTGAGACTGTAAACCTCACAGGAAGATTTATGGTCTCACGGTCCCTTTTCCCCTCTAAGCAGCTGGGGAATTCAAACCAGCAGAGAGGCATGGCCTTCAGGTCAGCAGCACCACTCCCCATGGACCACGCCACCAGAGTTCCTTCTTCATTAAGTCAAGGGAACTACGGAGCAGCTTGACCCTGTACATATATGGAGCTGTCACTGCAGAAATGGAATTAAATCTTCACGTGGAACAAGCTGGAGTCCTTGTATTCAAGAGGATACTTTAGGAAAGGAAAAAACCCAAAAAAACTCACAAACCTTTCTCTGTGCTTAGATTCCTAGAGACAAGGAAGACAGTAGTGGGATTCTTTCTCTCTGTGTGTATATATATTCATCTGTGTGTACACAATAAATTCTTTAAACAGTTAAGAGGATTTGAGAAGGGAATAAACTATACTAAATCATGCATCATCTATAAAGGAAAAGTCTTTCAATTGTTTCCTTTAATTCTCTAATTGTCTAACTGTAGCAAAGGCACGATAGTCTTGAATTATAGCAATGTACTTACTATATTCCTGAGGGTTGAATATAGAGACTGTGATTTTAATACTTGTCTTTCCTTACTATATTCCTGAGGGTTGAATACAGAGACTGCGATTTTAATACTTGTCTTTCCATTTTAAAAAAAAAGTGTCTTTTCTAGGCCTCATCTCTATCTAAGAGAGCTAACAGCTTTCCTTACTGGCTCAGCCTCCTTTCCTGAGAACAGGAAGTTGACATCACCAGTCTATTTTGGGGCAATTCTACTCTGTCACATGGGGTCACTGTGAATCGGAAACAACTCAGCAACACTTAACAAGAGCAATATTTAGACACTATCATGAACAAAATGTCAACAGAGGCAACTTCCCTGATACGGTCAACTTAATATTAAGTCAACTGGGTTGTAACGTCAAATACAATAAAACTCACTGCATAAAAATTTTATGTGTTTAATTAAACACATTCTGACAAATGCACGCAGTAGTGTCATAATTACTATGATATAACACAAAACCATTTCAATCATTTCATGTAATAAAGTTTTAATTACTGCTTATAAATGGAGAGGAGAAATTTTTTAACAATTGTATTTTCATAGCTTCTTTTTCAGTGGTTCCCTAGAAGTTCACTAGGCAATATACGGAAATTTCTAATAATGAGTTTAAAGCAGAAAGAAAAGAAAGAGTAAGATAAACTTAGGCTGTTAAACTGGGAGTAGTGTTGACCATGTTTGCTTACTCAAACTTGTTTTAGAGGAGATTTGAATAGGCAAGAGGATGTTCTTATGTTCAACTTGAATTATAATTTTTACTATGTTCTAATTTTAAAAGTTCAGGAAATTTAATATGTAACAACAATGACACTCCTGTTGACATAAAACATGTATCTATGCCTATTGCTCTGGTGGGCTAGGGGTAAGAAGCTGTGCTGCAATCCCAAAGGCATGCAGTTCAAATCCACCAGCTGTTCTACAGAAGGCTGGGCAACCTCCTCCAGTGAGATTTACTGCATGTGAAAACCCACTGGAGGGTCAACTGTGGGTCGGTTCCAACTCTCCTGGGATTAAGACAGAAAAGCACATCTAAGACTTAGTAAGACTGATTCTAACACAGTATATTCAATTTCTTTCCTCAGATTAAGAAAAAAACTATGTAATTCAAATGTATTCCCTAGTTTAAATATATTTGTGACTTCTACTATAAATAAAGAGTAGATTTAAACATTAAAAACAGATTTAAACAAAAATGAGTAGGAACATGAATTTTAAGAATTAAAGTGATTCCACCTCAACATAAATGCAATGTAATTGTTACTGTATTTTTATAATATCACTACATTCTATAGTAAGTAGAAATTGTGAGAAAAACTATTAACTCACCAACAACATATAAGGAACCATGTAGCTCACTAACGCCATTGCCTGCTCTTCGCTGACCCATTTCTTTAACTTCTATCCACTTATCCAGATGTGGATCATACCTCTCCACACTAGATAACGAAGCTACTCCATCATTGCCACCAACTGCATACACATGGTTCTAAATGAAGAAAAGGTAAAATCAGAAGACATCAGATTTTCATTTACTCATATGATGTCCTAATGGTAGGCCACAATGTGCACCAAGACAGAACACCAAGAAGTACTCTGGTATATACACAGTTCTGGTGGCCTGCTGGATAAGGAGTTGTGCAGTTAACTTAAAGGCAAGTGGTTTGAATCCACCAGCTGATCTGAGGGAGTAAAAGGGCAATCTTCCCCCTCACAACCTCCCAACTTCCCACGTGATTTACAGTCTCTGAAAAATAGATGGAGGCTCAGCTGTGTGTCTGTGTTCTGACTCGATGGCACATAACACCACCACCACTTTGGTATGTAGTAATCAAAATCTGCCTACTGGTAACATAAATAGATGTTAAATATTTTTGTGATGTAATACAATGTACTGCAAATTAACGCAACGGGCGCGGTGCTGCATAACTTACGACCAGAGCCACAGAGCCAACACCTCCTCGGGGCGTATTCATCGGTGCCACTGTACTCCACTGATCAGATTCTATATCGTATCTCTCCACATCGTTGAAGCAAGTGTTGTCATCTAACCCTCCAATTGCATAAATTGGGCCTCCCAGGGAAGCCAAGGCAATTCCACGCCTGCAAAGACAATACAACACACTTTGACTTATTTCCAGAAAGAAAGTACCAAAAAATTGGTTCTGTGAATTCATTTATCATGTTAACTTCAAAGAGTTCAAGTGCTGGTGGTTGCTTGTCACTGAGTGGAACCAACTCATAGCTGACTCTCCACTGGGTTTTGATGTGAAGTTAAACACACAGGAGGAGAGTGCTCATCTTTCTCCCACAGAGCAGCTGATGAATTCAAACAATGTTTTGAATAGTTTCTATTACTTTTAGATTTGGCAAATTTTCTGAATAGATTGCTACAGGTTGTCAAATTGCACCACTTAATGTAACAGTGGTCCCAGAGTTGCATGGGTAAAGTATACACAGTTCCTAGACTCACAAGAAACAATAAAGCTAAACTCAAAACAGTACCACAAGTGAAATCAACTGGTCAAACACAGTTGCTTAATTGAGGAGTTAATGAACATGCAAAGAGGAATTTGTTGTGGAGTGTAGAAGTCTACTTCATTTTTTCTAAATTCATATTGTTGCTGAATCTGGAGACCAAGGTGTGTGTGATACAGGCCATTGTCTTAGCAATTACGTACTAGGCATCAGAAAGCTGGACACTGACTAGGGATGATGGAGAATTGATGCCTTTTGAGCTGTGGTGCTGGAGAAGAGTGTTGAATACCGTTGTCCCAGAGGGTGAAAACTGGCTGCTCCTTGGAGAAAAGGATTCTGAAGCTCTGTCCTCTGTCTGACATACTTTTGATATGCTGAAAGGAGGGACGAGTCCTTCGAGAGGATCACTATGCTTGGAAGAGTGGAGGGATAGTGCAGGAGAAGAAGACCCTTCATGAGATGGATTGGTTTCGTGATTGGAGGAATGAGAGTAGGTGTGTCGGAGACAGTGAGGTTGGCTCAACATAGAACAGGGTTCACAGGTGTTGTACACAGGGTTGCTATGAAAAACAAGAGACTCAATGGCACTTAACAACAACCACCACCACCATTTTTTTTATACAAGGTTATCCTAATTATAAAATAAAAGAGCATTAATTCTTATATACAAGCCTTTTATCACATTGTTTTACTTCTGAAGAATATGTAGTTCTCTTCTTGGAAAGGAACTAACTGTATTAACTGTATTTGTTCTGCATTAAGAACAAATTCATTGTAATGATGACTGGAAAAAAATTATCTCCATCTCACACATGGCAGCAAATAAAAGTTGAACTAGTTTAAAACTATCATCTGTCCCTGATTTCATATGTACTTTGGATAAAGCAGTGTATCTTTGTACAAGTTTTTATTACCTTGGTTCTTCATATGTAGTTCATCCAAAGGGAAAAAAAGATGACGAGGCACAGCTATTATTAACAAGTTAACTTAGCTAACGTGCTTGGAATGTCTGTCTCATTTTCATTGTTCTATAGGTATTCACTATGATTAATAAATGGAGATGCTAATTTGGAGTTTACCAAAGAGGGCGATGGGGGTGGAATTTTAAAAATAATGTTACTGATTATTTTCAGAACCCTAAACCCTTTTCTCTTAGTATAAAGCAATGAATTACAAACCAATGTGCTTATAACATTTTTCTGGGGTGCATGGATATGCACACGCACGCTCATGTGTGCTAAAACCAGAACAGTGTCAGGTCAGGGTGGTCTAATAATTCTACCCTCGTCCAAAACCACAAGAGCGAACACTCACAATGTCCACCTCCTACTCCTCAAAAGTCTCTTGATTTTCATGGCCTCCAACTGGGGTTGTCTCCTACATTTCTGGTTGGTACTTTTCAGTTTCCTTTATCAGTGCCTTCTTCATTACCCTGTCCTTAAACTGTGACACACCCTGGAGCTCTGCCCTTCTATCACTATACTCTCTCAGGAAAACACATTGTTTCCTTGGATTTACATAAATTCAAATATATACTTCCAAACACAGATTCAAACCTCTCCCTTAATCGTTTTGCTGGTTCTTGGACCTTAACCTAAAGACAAAATGCATTATTCTATGGTCAAGTTTAAGCTCAATGCTTTTTTAAAAAAATTTTATTTTATTAATTTTAATGAACATTTACAGAGATTTTGGATTTCCATTCATTCATTGTTGCACTTTCCTCCCTGCCCACCCTTCTCCACCCAACTCCAGTTTGCTCCTCTCTTTGAAAAGTAAAAGAAAAACTCCTTCATTGGTATACACTGCTTTTGAATTGGTTCTGGCTAAAACTTTCTCCTAAATGATGCACAGCCTTGAGATTTGCAGTACAACTGGCTGTGGACAGTTCAACCATAACTGCCCTGGGAAGAACTTTAGGATGTCTCATAATCTCTACCCCATAATTAAGGCAAAAGAGAGAGAGATTACCTGGTTGGGCCTGTGATGTTAATAGGTTTATTGTTCAAAATGGCTTTCCTAGGCATTAACTTTGACTTTGCCATATGAAAGGGCAAGAAGATGTGAAACATTAGCCTGTCTACAAGGGGCCTGGCTAGCCTTGCCACTGAACTGAGCAGATTCAACAGTTTTGGAGAATCTCACCACTATCAAAGAAGCAAGACAATGAGTGTGTCCTTCAGGGCGAGAGATTCTCGTCTCAGCCAGGGTCTATGGGAGCAGCGGCCATAGCAGCCAGCAGCTCAGAACCAGAGACCTGACACGAGACAGAGCCGACCTTGGAATTGCTGTGCCAAGCAACCAAAGAGCGAGCCTTCTGCCCAAGTTTGTTACAGGACTGGGGTTTGGGGAAAACCATAATTGGCAGGGCTACGGGCCTAAAGCTGCCAGGCTGAGGTGCCTGTGAGCACATTTCAGACACTGTCCTGAATGACTATATTCTGCTACTAAGCTGAATTATAGCCTTTTGAGTTCCCCAATATGGTTCTGTGTGGTTTTGAGCTATTACAATGGATTTTGGATCCAGTAAAGCAATAAGGCTGGTGTTGGGATGAGTAGAAAGAGGTGCAGAGACATGTCTGACCTCACTGGAAATAGTTTCATGTCTGGGCTGTTTGTGACAGGGAGAGCTGATGGCGATCCCCACCTGGCCCTTGCTCTTTTTATAGAACTAATCCTTTGAGTCCTTAAACAGTAGAAATGTTTCTTGACTGTTAACACAAGAGGAAGTAAACAATTCTTGAGGAGATTGCATCACAGCTGGTCTGAAGTCAAAAGGAAGCACAGGAAAAGGACTTGAACATGAACTCTGAGAGCTACCATGGTGCAATAGGCAGTAAAAATGGGCACTCAGCTCTACCAATGCAAAGAACTGAATTCTGTTAACAACCTGAATGAGCTGGAAGTGGATTCTTTCCCAGGGCCTCCAGGTAAGAGCCCAGCCCAGCCCAGTCAAGCCTAGTCAACACTTTTATTTTGGCCTTATAAGCAGAAAACCCAGTCAAACCTGTTTCTGAACTAAAGAACAGTGAGCTAACAAGTGAGTATTATTTTAAGCCTTGAAATCTGTGGTAATTTGTTACACCAAACCAAAGCCTACTGCTGTCAAACAGATTCAGACTCACAGTGACCCTCCACTGGATTCTGAAGTCTTTAACATTTTTGCAGGAATCTGCTCATCTTTTTTTTCAGAGGTGGCTGGGAGATGCAAATAACCCACTTTTGTTGCTCCATATATTACCCACTACATCACCAGGGCTCCAATTTGATAAACAGCAATGTTGTTGTTAGCTGCCATTGAGTCAAGTATGAACAAAAGATCTGAACCCTGTCCTGCCCTGTGCCAGCCTTACAATCTCTGACATAGCTGATCCCACTGCTGCCGTCAGTGTGTCAATCCAACAGATTGAGGGCCTTCCTCTCTTTTTGCTGACCCTCCACCTTCCCAAGTATGGTGTCTTTCTCTAAGAATAACTTCTCCTAATAACATGCCAAAGTATGAGACAAAGCTTCACCATCCCTGCCTTCAAGGAGAACTCTGATTTCACCTTCTCTAAGATGTATCTGTTTATTCTTTGGACAGTCCATGAGATATTCAATACTCTTCTCCAACACCACAACCCAAAGGCATCAAATTTTCTACTGTCATCCTTATTCACTGTCCAGGTCTCAGATGCACAGCACGTGACTGAAAGATGATAGCTTGAACCAGGTGCACTTTAGTCCTCAAACTGACATAACTGCTCCTCAGTAATTTAAAGAGCGGTTCCTGACTGTGGACTTTCCTAGTGGAATATATCTCCTGATCTCCTGACTGCTGGTACCAAAGGTGTGGACTGTGGATCCAAGTAAGATGAAGTCACTGGCAGTTTCAATCTTTTCTCCTCCTATAATGATGTTGCCTATAAATCCAGTGATCAGAATTTTTGTTTTTTGATGTTAAGATTTAATCCATATTGAAAGTGTTATTCTTTGATCTTCTGCAGCAAGCACTTCAAGTCCTTACTTTTAGAAAGTAAAGCTGTGTCGTCTGCATAAGGAAGCTTATTGATGAGTTTTCCTCTGATCCTGTCACATTCTTCTTCACAGAGTCCAGCTTTTCGAAAAATTTGTTCAGTATATAGATTTAATACATATGGAGAAAGGTTACAATCTTGATGTAGACCTTTCTTAATTTTAAACCAAACAGTGTTCTGTTGCTCTGTTCACACAATAGACTCTTGGTCTAGGTCTGGGTTTCACATGAGTTCAATTAAGTGTTCATGGATTCCTATTCTTCTCAGTGTTAGCCATAATTTGTTATGGTCCACACAGTCAAATGCCTCTTTACAACAGCATTAGAAAAAATAAAATAGTCATCATAAGATGAGTAAAATTTGTATCTTCAGCATTGAGTGTCTCCTATCTTGTAAAAGAGCATCACCACCATGGTATTTTAACACAAGTAATATTTGTGCCATACAGTTTTTGCAACTTGCAAACTTCCTTGCACATTAGTTTCCTGTGTGTGCTATGCTACTACATTGCTACAACTGCAAACCCAAGCTACAATGTCTAAATGAGTGGTGGTGGCAATTCTGGTTTGTAGTTTTTATTACTACAACTGTGAAGGAATTTATTTTTTTTGTTTGAAGAAAAGCTATTTTCAATATTTACTTAGTCTTGTTTTCTCTATTCTATTTCCCCCCATTGAAACAAAGAGGCAGAATCTATAGTATTTTAGCATGTAGGTTAGGTGAATTACTACATTCACTCTCTGCTCACTCATTTGCTCAATCTCCAATTTGAATAAGGAATGGAAAAGGAATCCAATTTAACCTGCTACAGGTCATGTTTCCATATGCGTGTATTTTTATCAACTTTCCTACTACAGCTACATCTCTTAAAATAGCTACACACTTTCTCAAGTCTTTTTTCTCTAAGAATCCTAGGCATTTTACTTTTTCTTTTCTGTATTCTTTACTTACTGTTTTTCATACAATAATTCATTGACCTTGTATTATTCATATACATTGTGTTATATACAATTCCTCATTTACACAGCTTCAAAAAGTCCTTCATATACACTGCACACCATATAATTGTCATTGATCTATGCCTATTATTACACCATCTTTTCAAAGTCCTCTCTTCTTGAGACCACCTTTTTTAGTGGCAATGTTTTCAGATCTTATTAAAATGCTAGTCTTGAAGATGTATCCCAGTTGTCACTTCCACATTCATATCAATAAATTTTTGTGCACCTTCCTCAGAGGATAATTGTTTTCAAGTTACCTCAGTTGATGGGAACACTCAAAACCCATAGATAAATCTCCCTTGATCTAAAACATCAACCTTATTATTGTAGACAAGTACATTCTATTTGGTTTTTATTCTGCCTAGTTTTCTATTAAAATTTGTTTCATATTGATTAAAGTTCTTCTTTCTGTATGATATACAACTGAGCTAGAATTTACACCACACTGTACTGTTACAACTGATTTTTTTAAATACCTAAAATAAAAATAGCAAAGGCACGCCTGATACAGGCCATGGTCTTTGCAATCACTTGTTATGCATCAGAGAGTTGGACAATGACTAGGGAGGATAGAAGGAGAATTGATGCCTTTGAGCTGTGGTGCTGGAGAAGAGAACTGAATGTACCATGGACTGCCAAGAAAACAAACAGGTTCATTCTGGAGAGGATTAAACCAAGCTACTCCTTGGAGGCAAGGATTCTGGGGCTTCGTCTGACATACTTTGGGCATGTTGCCAGGAGGGATGGGTCCTTGGAGAGGGACATCATGCTTGGGAGGGTGGAGGGACGGCGCAAGAGGGGAAGACCCTCTATGAGATGGATTGATTCAGTGACTGGGGTAATCAGGATGGGTGTGTCAGAGGTAGTGCAATTGGTACAGGATAGAGCAGGGTTTAGGGCATAGGGTCGCTATGAGTCCCAAACGACTCGATGGCACATAACAACAACAACAACATTGCTATCAAATCGATTCTAACTCATAGCCACTCTAAATTTTAACAGGAAGAGAACATCTTTCTTCCACTAAACAGAAAATGGATTCTAACTGTTGACCTTTTTGACTGGAGTCTGGCACATAATACACTAGATATGGTCTTGTACATATTTGAGTTGGAACTAACTCGCAGCTCACCCTCCAGTGAGTTCTCAGAGTCAGTAAATGTCAAGTGTGGAGACCGCCCATATTTCTTCCACAGAATAGCTAGTAGGAGGTAGGATCAAACTGCCAGCCTTTGGATCTAGGGAGCTCTTGTGGTCTAGCGTGTAAGGAAGAAGTCGCACTGCCAACCCAAAGGCACAGTTCAAATCTACCAGCTGCATCAGGAGGAAAATGGGTAACCTCCTGTGGGATTTAAAACTTCTCAAAATCTGCCAGAAGTTCAGCTTTGAGTTGGTTCTGACTCAAGAGCACATGACAATAGTAATATGTAAACTTTGATATTTTGCCGATAAATTTAGGGTATATATAGATTACTGTGTCTTTTGCACTCAGATGTGATCACATGAATTTAGCTATTTTTCCCATTTCATGATAAGAATTTTACATTCATGTTATTAATTAAAATGTTAAACAAATTAAAGTTCTAAGACATGCTCCTGTGCCTTTGTCTTTTAACTAATCTACTAATCAGTGCTGTGGTGCTAGAGAAGAGTATTGAGAATACCATGGACTGCTAGGAAAACAAACAGATTTGTCCTGGAAAGGGTTAAACCGGGTGGCTCCTTGGAGGCAAGG